ACAGACAGACAGACAGACGGGCAGGCCGACGTGCATACTCGGATGCACTCACGTGCATACATACGCACGTGCATTTCGTGCACGGATCAGTTATTGCTAGAACGCAGAAGCATGCTGTCCTCTGGGCTTGCAAGCCCCTGTTCAAGCGTCGCTCTACAGCTAGCGAACAACAGCTCTACACCCCAAACCTGGATATGAGCAGAAACTCGGGCTCCCTTGCATTTACATAGGTTTTAGATTTTAGGCTTTGGGTTTCGGAACTACAACAAGCCTCAGCTGAGGACTTGAAGAGATTTCTGGAGCGCTGTGGCCTTTCTTGGGGTGCCGATCTCAATGCCGAAACTGGTATGGAGCAGCCTTCCACGCATGGAGTGCAGGCTGACCCTAAACCCTAAGGTTTAGCACATTTACGGGTATAAAGCCTATGAACCCCAAACCGCTGTAGACCGCAAACCCGGAGCCCAAGTCCCACGCCACGGCAGGCCCTGAAATTGGGCTCTGGAGATTTCTACAACCGCCAAAGCCCTCAAGCTCAAAAAATCGTAGGTAGTGTTAGCGAGACCCCTTAAAGGGGACCCTTCTTAACCCTACTTGTGGCTCTCTTAAATGGGACCTTAGTGAGGGTGTCTTTATCTTCAAGGGTCCCCTTAATCCCAACTCCCCATACATCAAAGCACGGAAGCCCGACCCCCTCAACCGACAGGCTTCTGACAGAAATCCTCCGACGCCCTAAACCCCTTAAGCCCTAAGCCCTAAAACCCTAAAACCCCTAAACCCTAAAACCCTAAACCGGCTGCAGCCTACACTTTATCATCCTGAAGCCTTACACCTTTCCTCAAGGCACACCACGTACTCGCTGGACATTCCGCTGAAGAAGAATTCCACTGAACTCCTGGCCACGGGGCTCCGGGTCTTGAAGGAGTCCGGTTCTGCTGAGGGTGTAGGAATTTAGAAGACCCTAAACCCTAAACCCTATTCCCTAAAACCCTCTTCCCTAAACCCTAAACCCCTAAACCCTAAACCCCTAAACCCCTAAACCCCTAAACCCCTAAACCCTAAACTTTCCTAAACCCCACACCCCTAAACCCCTAGACCCCTAAACCCCGAAACCCCGAATCACCTAAAGCCTGCTTTGGAGGATCCAGGGCTCGGGGTTCCAAAACCTCAAACCCGAAGCTTCTGAGCCCTGGACCAAAGACCCGAATTCCCGAAACCCTAGGTTAGTTGCAATAAACCCTAATCTAGGGGCCTTAATAGTGAGAATAGGGTTTTGGGGCCCTTTATAGTATAGTTATCATAAGGACCCCCCCCCAAAAAAAAATAGTAGTGGTAAATATTTAGGCTCCTATATTAAGCCCCAATGTCCCTAAACACTATGCCCAGAACCCCGAAACCCATGGTGCATTAAGCCCTGCACCCTAAACCTTAAGCCCCAAACCCTTAGGGGTCTGGGCTTGCATCATCCCTGTCGAAGGAGTTCGCCTTCGACGCGCTGTTGCGGTCCGAGGACATTCAGAAAGAGAAAGGGGCCTGCTGCCTATTTAATATTTAGGGTTTATAGGGCTTTAGAGCTCTCTGGTTTTAGGCTTTGGGGCTTCAGGGCTTTATGGTTTTGGGGTCTGGGATTTCAGGGGTTCTTAGGGTTTTTCAGGTGTAGGCTGAGGGTTTGGGGCACAGGGGTTTTCGGGTTTGGGGTTAAGGAAAAAGGGTTTGTCGACTAGGGTTTAGGCTAAATTAGCTTGGGGGTTTGGGCTTGAAGTTTGGTTTCACAGATTCCGTGCGGAGGATCGTGGCTTAGGGTCAAGTAGAGTTTAGGCCCTAAGCCCACAACCCTAACCCCTAAACCTTAAACACTATAGGGTCCAGTAGCAGAGTGCAGGCTGGTGGGTTTGAGCAGTAGGTATTGGGGCAGGAAGTATATGCTATTCGGCTCGGTAAGTTTGGGGTTGAATGCGAGTGCTTATAAGGGTCTCATAATTGAGGCTTGCTGCTTCTTGTTCTTGCCTGTCTGTAGTAGGCAAGGCTTTGCAGAAGACGTGGAGGGGGCAAGCTTGTTGCCTCTTGCCTGTCCTTTTTTTAGGTTTATGGTTTACTTTCGAGGCTGTTCAGGGTCTCCGGAAGATGCCGTTGTGAGGGAGACTTGTTGGAGAAGCAGGGTCCCAAACCCTAATACCTACCTTAAAGCCTAAACCCTAAACCGAAAAACCCTTGACTTCAAGGTCAGGAGTAAAAGGACTCGAAACCACTCCCTCTACGAGGGCCCTTTAAGGCTCAAGCTAGCCAACAACCTCCATACCCTTCTGAAGGCTTAAGGCTCAAACGCCTTGTAGTAGGAGTTAAACCCGCAATCCCTAAACCGGTATGAGTCCTTAACATAGGGGCCTGTATTACCTATACTATTTTTGTGTTTTTTTGGGGGTTCTTCATCATAATTATACGATAAAGGATACCCGAACCTCATTCTAATTATTAAGGCCCCTACATTAGAGCTTTTCTTGCCCGGCAAGAATCTTCCGGCCACCCAAGGTCGTCGAGGAAGAGTGGAGGGGCCGCTTGGGCGTCGAGCAGCGTGTGGAGGATAAGTTCTGGGCCGAGGTGAGCGATTCCCATATAGGTACTTGAAAAGTCAGTAATTCATCGATTCATTTTACTCGGAACCCCGGCATTACCAATACCGATACTATTCACAATCTGATATACCCACCTGATAGAGCCCTCAAGAACCCCTGAGCCTTAAATTGGAAGCCCCTATACCCTACACCCAGCACAAAAACCAGATACATCCCTTAAACAACTCCAAACCCTAAACCCTATATCTTAGAAGGGCCAGGGTCTGCTGTTGGATGTTATGATTTCGGCTGTTTGCCTGCTATTGGGGCTTGTTTTTGGACCCTTGGGGCTCAGGGATTGGTAGGGTTTAGATTTTAGGGGGGCTTGTGGGGTTGAGGATTTCAACCTTTAGGGTGTAGGGTTGTTGTGCTTGGGGCTTCAACTTTCAACACCTGCTGCGTCGGTTTAGGGTTTAGGGTTTAGGGTTTATTGTCTCGGGCATATTGCTCTTCCTCTTGTTTGCCGTGTTCTCTACATCCCCTGTTCTGCCGCCATTGAGGTACTGAAACTTCCTAGCGCAGGGTGTGGGGTCGCAAGGCCTGCGAACATCCGATGGTTTAGGGCTCTGCTGGGTAGGTGTGTAGAAGTATCTGTATTGAATTTCAAGTCGTTTGTGCCCAAACGCCAAACCGTGACTGAAATACCATTCTGCCCCTGATCAATTTCACCAAACTGAGTCTAAGTACCAACTTGTGTGGCAGGTCTTCGCTGGAACCCTTCATAGCCAGCGTCTGCCCATCGGAAAGATGGAGACCCTCCGACGCTGCCCCGATGAGCGTTTGCGAGCCTTCTACAAGAGGCCGTGGGTTGTGTTGGAACGCCAGCAGAATTGAATCCTAAACCATCAGTTCTGCTGATGCGGTTCTTCGTCTCCTCCCCTCAAGGTTTGCTGGCCTGGTTGTTAAGTTTGGGTCTGCGCGTAGCGAGGTGGAGTGTAGGGCTGGATACCGAGGATATTTTAGTCTTAGTATAAGTCTTAGTGCATCTCGGTGTAGCTATGGGGCTTGATTCTTGTGTTGCTGCCGCTTGCCCAGTCCGAAAGGAAAACTCCATTAAACTGTTGGCATCATGGTTTACCATCCCGTGCGTTCTGCTAACATGCGTCCGCAAACGGGCATGGTTACGCAGGTGGTACCGGCCGCAGCAGATGACAATCCTCTGCATCGGTGACTTCGGGAGCAATACTGTGGCAAAGACGCTGATTGAGAAGGCGCGGGAATTCAACCCTAAACCCTAGACCCCGAAAAAGTGCGACACGACAGTCAATAGGGGTGAGGGCATGCGTGCCGTTCATATCTGAGACCCCATGAGGTTCCTGGATTGGGGGCCAAGAGTTTCGATTGTTAAAGCTTTATGAGTTTGCAGGGGTGGTTCAGATTTAGAAGTGGGCTTTGATGTAGCACAAGACCTTTTCAGTCTACACCCTCTTTTGAGAGATGCCCCGATGAGGCCTTTGCCGACGTGAAGCCGAGCAAGGTGCGGATTTGTCAGAAAGAGTTTACAGGTTTTGGGACCTACCTTAAGAACCCAAAACCCACTTTTTTATAGGTTCTTATTATAAACCCTAATATGGGATTTATATGGACCCTACAGAAAAGTAGGTTTTGGGTTCTTAATGTAGGGCTTATAAGGGTTGGCGTTAGAGGACAGGTGCGGGTGCTCAACTGGAAGTTTGGCTGCGTAGTAGTAATTCATACTGTTCCATAGGCTTCCCTCGTGTACATATACACATGTACATTCTTGCATACCGAAAATCGCCAGTACAGTTTTTTAAGGCCCCCCGATATACCTCTGTGGGTTTGCATGCTGGCATCTTACACCCCAGCCGATCCACTCCTAAACCTTTTTAGCAGGAACGGTTTAGGGTTTAGGGTTTAGATTCAGACCTGTTTACCAAGAACAGTTGTGAGTGCTTGCATAATCGAATCGATCCCGAGAGGACTGCCTTGCTACTGTAGCTCTCAAGGAGCAAAAGACCCATAGCAACGATGGTCCTTGAAGCCCCTGCACCACTTTGTACCCTAAGCCCTCAACCCTGAACCATTTCGCACGCTCCTTTAAGAGTTGAGAGCAAAAGGACTCGGAGCAGCAATGGACACCTCCACCACTCTCTGCTCACGCAAGAGCGGCGGTGGTCTATCGGGACCAGGAGATTTTACGGGTTTACTCTTAGGGTTTCGCGATCAGGGTTCAGGGTTTAGGTCGGAGCCAATCCTAAAGCCTAAACTCCCGAAACCGTAGACCCTGAAAGCTCAGGGTTTCTGGATTTGAAATGGTTCATGGCTAAGATAAGGGCCTTAACAATTACGTATACTGTTTTGGGGGTTCCTTATTATAGTATATTATACCCCAAAACCCTATTCCAATCCTTAAGGCCCCTACAAGATTGCTCGGAGAATCGGAGAGTTTCACACCAAAGCCAAAACCACTCAACCCTGGGCTCCGTCTCCCTCACTTACAGGATCATGGGGCTTTAGGGTTCATGGGGCTTTAGGGTTCATGGGGTTTAGGGTTCAGGGGGATTTAGGGTTTAGGGTTCATGGGGTTGTAGGGCTCATTGGGTTTAGGGTTCAAGTACGAATTACTAGGTTGCTCGGCATCGAGTATGGATTACGTGTTGAACCACTGTAGGGTACTTACAACCTTTCTCAGTAAATCACCTGATCCTTCGAGTAGTTGCTGGTGCTGGGGAAACGATCTCTCTACTATCACTACAAGGATGTCAATCACCAGGGGAGATTCCAGACCAATGTACCTCTGTCATCCAAATTTCATTGAAGCCCCTAGACAAATGGGGGTTTCCGAAAATTAGGGGTACCTTATTTTGGGGTCCTTATAATAAGGATCCTATTATTTAGGGTACTATATTAGGGTCCCCTATTTTCGGAAAGCCCCAAATGGAAAGGTGCTTATGGCCGCCCTGGGGCCTTACTCGGTTTATAGGGTGTTGTGAGAGAAAGGCTTCAGAAGAGGAAATTCTGGTACAACCGTTCAGAAGCCTGTAAGACCTTATGAAATCCCTGCAAAACCTCCACACACACCCTATGACTTGCTCCTGATAAGGGACAGCAGGAGCTTTCCAGCTATGTGGTTCGCATTCGCTTCTTCTTCGAAGAAACTACACGGCGAACTCTGCCGGAGATGGTCGGTGCCGTGGCGAGCTTTCAAAGCCCGAAACCCGAAAAGCCTAAACCTCAAACCCTGGGAGCACCGCTAAAACCAAAATCAGTTGACGCTCTGAGAGTCTTCATTCAACCCCTCTAAACCCGACGTCTTCAAGGAGAATCTAAACCTGGTAGATCTCACATCCTGAAAGCCTATAAACCTAAACTAAACCATGGCACGTAATGGCACGGCGGGTAATGGCGGTGATCTGGACAATTGTCCTAATTAATGGTGAGAATGCATAAAGTTTCACCTGGCGTAGGCCGACGGGCTGGGATGGTCGTACAGTCCGCTCCCTTGCACCTTGAAAAAGCCCTAAGCCCTTTTAAACCCGAAACTCAAGCCCAAACCGGACTCAAACCCCAAAGCCTAAACCCTAAACCCTAAACCCTAAACCCTAAACCCCCAAAGCCTAAACCCCAAGCCCTTCTGAACCTAAAACTCAAACCCGAACCTGGACTGGGAGGCTCCAAGCACGCATAGCGCAGTCTGTACTTGAATGCACGGCCTAACTATGGGTTGTGTTGATCTGATGTATTTGATGGGTTAAGGAAGGCACATGGACCGTTGGGTTTAGGGGCAGTTCCCTATACCCCTAATCTCTAGATGCTTTAAACCCTATAAATCCTAAACCCCTCAAGTCTGAATCCCTAAACCCTAAAGCCCTAAACCCTCAACCCCTAAACCCTAAACCCCGAACCCTAACACCCTAAACCCTAAATCCGTTCTCGGAGGCGATATGTCACGAGACCTTCTTCTAATGGGCCTGAATCGGCGTCTTTCCGCTCTTCAGCTGCGGCCAAATGCGCCCTTCCTCTCCGCCGCGGCGAACGAGGAGCCTGGGTTTTTTAGCCCCAAAAAATGCAGAAAGGACATAAGCATAAGCATTTTAGAGGGATGTCCCTACCTCATTGGGCTTCATGATCAGGTGATTTATATGGGATATCCCTATCCTAAATTTTGCTTATGTGTTTTTTTTGGGGGGCCCTAGGTAGGGCTTAGGGCTCAGTGCTGTTATGGGGGACATTCTCCCAAATCAGTCTAAGGATTCCTAAATAATATAGAAACTTTACATTCTACATATAGGGGACAGAGGACCCCTGAAAGGAACCCTAAACCCTAAACCCGTACAGGTAGAAAGCTCCGATAGGGGTTCTACAACAGTTCTCTTACAGCGATCCATACACTTCGATAGGTGTTCTATGAGTGTGGAATGATAGTTCTACAAGAGTTCTATAAGAGTTGTCTTTTAGGGTTCTATATGGCCTCCAGAAAAGGTTCTAGAGAGGATGTGAATGAGGTTCTTTTATGAAGGATAGTTTTCAGTAAGGGCTCTCTGGGTCAGAATGGCTGTTGATGAAGATGTCGTAAGCAACGCTGCGGTTTTAGGGTTCAGCCCCTTTCGGTAGGATTTCGGGTTAAGGATGTAGAAGCTAGAGTTTAGGGTAGGTTTTAGGGTCTTGGTTCCCAAGGTGCCAGAAGAAGAAGTTTAGGGCAATCAAGGGCCTTAAAAAATTAGAATAGGGTTCAGGGGTATAGTATACTATTATTATAGTAAGGAAGCCCCCAAACCCCATTCTAATTATTCAGGCCCCTACATTAGGGTTGAGGGTTTGTCAACTCCAACATCCCTGGAGTAAGGAATGTTGCTCGACGTACAGTCAGGATCCGTACTGTCACTCATCGTCTTTTTGTGAAAGGATACTTGTTTCTAGGGGGCGCCAGACGTAGAGCAGAAATAGAAGAATCCTGAATTAAGTATGGCGGACGGTTTGTGGGGTTGGCAGGGTGTAGAAACCTGACTGGTAGGCGCCTTCGTCTGCAATCCTAGTCGTGGGATTCCCGCAAACCCCTGTTCTGTTAAGGCTTAAGCAGGTTAGTGTATCCTAAACCCTAAACCCTGAAGGTTTGTGTATCCTAAACCCTAAACCCTAAATGAGGGAAAATGCCTCGATAGAATTTGCTTATGAGAACCGTAGTTCAACCCTGTTTAGGGTAGGGGTTAAGGGTTTAGGGTTCTAAACTCCCACAATAAATCCATCACATAGACATACATGTATTCTATGGTATACACATATAATCTACATATATATATATATAGAGAGAGAGCTATACACATACATATATATATATATATGTGTGTGTATATACATATATACATATAGTATGATTATATATATGTAGATATATATACACCCCGTGAACACTATATATATATATGTATATGTATACGTACTAATTACTAAGACCGCTACATTACGTAGACTCGACTGCACGGGTAGGATCATGATGCTCGTTGCTCTACAACAAGTTTCATGAATGTCCCATGTACGGGCCCCAAGTAACCTATCCAAGCTTCAAGCCCTTTTGACACCCCAAGCCCTAAGCCCTAAATCCCAAAACACCCCTACCAGTTCCAAGTGCGCGAGCACCCTGGCAAGCCTCATTGACACCTCCCGGAACATACCTGTTTCGAATCCCTTTATACACCCCTGGCAGAAGTCCTTTTCGAACATTCTAAACCCTAAACCCTAAAGCCTAAACCCTAAAGCCTAAACCCCTAAGCCCTAAAACCCGATGCACGCCCTGAACGAGGAGCACATCACGCAGACGTGCGTCTGCGTGTCGATCTCTGCCAACGTGCTGAAAGGAGACGTCCTGAAGGCTTTGGACTAGGGACCTGAGAACTTAGGGTTTCGGATTTATATAGGGTTTAGTGTTTAGGGTATACAAAAATACACATATATATATATATAATATATATATATATATATATATGTATAGGGTGTAGGGTTTAGGGTTGATACAGGGTCTAGGGCTTATAAGGGTTGAATTAGGGCTTTTATAGGATTTAGGGCTTCGGGATTTCGGGTTTGGTAGGGGGTTGAGGGTTTTGGGCCTTAGTAAGAGGGTTTTACGGCACGCTCTTCTACGATTGTGAGACTTTCAAGGACTATCAGTATTTGTTCCGGCCCAGTAATATTAGTATTCGGTTAGCTCTCTGTGTTTTAGGTTTGTTTAGTCTAACGGGTTTGGAGTCATGAGTCTGAGGCCTTCAAGGTACAAGATATCCCTAAACTTCAAGCCCGAAGCCCAATCCCCCAACGCTTGCAGGGCTGCACCGTGAACGCTAAACTCGAAACCCGAAAGCCTAACCCAAAAATTCCTAAAACCAGAGAATCCCAAAACCCTAAAACCCTAAACCCTGAACCCAAGCTCATTCTTTGTGTAAGGGAAAGGGGGGTGGGGCGGGGGCGGGTGGGAAGTCCCTGCTCAAGGCTGCTGAGGCTCTTGGAGAGGTCCTTGCCAGCCTGGCGCGACTCTTGGCCACTGTAATAGGGGTTTAGGGTTTAGGGTTTTAGGGTTTAGGGTTTAGGGTTTAGGGTTTAGGGTTCAGGGTTTAGGGGTTTGGGGGTGTGGGGTTTAGGGTTTAGGCTATGTTAGGGGTTACGTAGTATCAGGGCGCTGTAAGGGTATGATAGGTGATAGAAGGGCTACTGTCAGGGTACTTCAAGGGTACCGTAAGAGACTCGTGGCTTAGCCCTACAACCCCCTTATACCATCCTGCACTGAAAGCGTCTGTAAGGCCTTCATACAAGGTGCCCCTGAACCCTGCCCTTTGAACCCCAAACCCTATTCAACCCTCGGAACCCTACCAAGGACATGGCCTCAGCGAGCGTGAGATGGAGCTGACGAGGAAGCTCCATCAGAACACCCTGAACCCTAAAACCCTAAAACCCTAAAGCCCTAAACCCCAAGCTCTAAGGAGCTTGATTCCTAATGGCCTTAAACCCCTAACCCTGCTGGCCCTAAAGCCTGATGGCCTTATTCCCTAAACCCTAAACCATAATGACCCTAAACCCTAATGGCCTTACTCCCTACAAACCCTAAACCTTAATGACCCTAAACCCGAATGGCCTTATTCCCTGAACCCTGAACCCTAATGGCCTTGTACCCTAAACCCTAAACTAAACCTTAACGGCCCTAAACCCTAAACTAAGCCTTAACGGCCCTAAACCCTAAACTAAACCTTAACGGCCCTAAACCCTAATGGCCTTAAACCCTGTAAACTCTAAACCCTAGTGGCCTTATTCCCTAAACCCTGAACCTAACCCTAATTCTTAATGGCTTGAAACCCTATAAACCCTATGCCTTAATGGATGACACGCTCAAATCGAGAAGTACAAAATACAATGGCCCCAGACCCTAAACCCAATAAGCGCTATACAGCCTAAACCTTAAACCCTAATGGCCCTAAACCCTAAACCCTAAACCCTAAACCCTAAACCCTAAACTCCCCTAAAGGAAGTTCCACTGCACGGCCTTGGACTCTGTCTGGGCGGAGAGGCAGCTTCGATGAGACTTTGGTCTTTTCTGTTTAGGACTTCAGGGTTTAGGGTTTAGGGTTTAGGGTTTAGGGTTTAGGGTTCTTCAGGTTTTTGTTGGCTTTGTTTTGGTGGTTTAGGGTGTTATAAGGAGTTTAGGTTGTTTAGGGTGTTTAGGGTTGGTAGGGTTTCAAGGGCCAAGGGATTTGATCGTGGTCGGGTTTTGAGGGATATTTGTTGTTTTTTGTGTTTCAGGGTTAGGGCTTCCACTGCTAGTCCCAAAGCTCTGAGGATTCACGTCAAGACTCCTTGGGCCGGTTTAGCGTCTAGGGGGTTTAGGGTTTAGGGGGCTTAGGGGGTTAAGCAGTTTAGGGATTTTAGGGTTTGGGGGGTTCAGGAAACAGTTGCCTGGGCTTTCGCGGCATCTATGCCCAAGAATCTGAAAACGCCTACTCCATCATGACGTCAGAATGCTGCACCCTCAACTCTCTTACCGTTTTTGCATGTTGCCAGCTGATCTACATTGGCGCATGTTCAGGAATACTCCTGGCTTGAAACCCCACGCTCCCCAAACCCACAAAGCCTCAACGCCTAGCCTGGATGTCCCTAAACCCTAGGCCCTAAACCCTATACCCTAAAACATAAACCCTAAACCCTAAACCCCAAACCGAGGCACCACGTCGACTCTGAAGACGTCTTGGAATGTGCCGAGGACTTCGTCCTCTCTGGGGAGCAGACGCGCTTGTGCTCAGATTGCATGGACGTGCGCCTGCAGCATGAGGCCCTACCCAAACCACCAAAAAGGATCTAAAAATTAGATCCCCCAAGGGAGTTCCTATAAAGTACCCTTTAGTAGTTAGGGTCCCTAATTAGGGGATGAGGCCCCTGAGGTTCGGGGTTGTTCTGGGCTTAGCATAGGGGCCTGATGAATCGGCGATGTGAATTCTCAGGGTTCCTTATCACTGGAACTACACCAAACCCTAAACCCTAAACCCTGAACCCTAAACCCTAAACCCTAAACCCTAAACCCTAAACCCTTAGCGATGTGAATTCTTAGGGTTCCTTATCACTGGAACGCACCATACCCCCGACTTTGGGCCCCTTGTTGTGGGAAGGGCAAGAGGTGGGTAGGGTTTAGGGTTTAGGGTTTAGGGTTTAGGGTTTAGGGTTTAAGGGTTTAGGGTTTAGGGTTTAGGGTTTAGGGTTTAGGAGGGCTGTCGTTTCAAAAAGCGCAGCTGAAGCGTTGCCCGGCCCTCTTGCTACCCCCTGCGTGGTTTGTTTTGTTGCTTCTTCTGCCTCCTCCATCATTGCTATTGTTATTATCATTACTGGTACTGTTATTACTGTTGTAATTCGCCTTTGTTTCGCGCTTTTAGTCTCTACTGTTCGTTTTCGTCTGGTTGATACTAAATACATTGCGGTTGTTACTGGGTGTTGCTGTCCTGATTATTTTTGTCGCTTGTTGGTTTCCTCCTTACTCTCTACTGGTTGGTTCTTCTTGTGCATGTTTTCCTCTTGCAAGCGTCAACCCATCGGGGAACTGCATCTTTGTGGATGTAGGATTTGTTTGTGACCATTCTCTTGCAGAGGGAGGATGAATTGCTATGTGCATAGTATCCTAAGTTTCAGCCGTATCATTACACATTTCAGCACATACAAGTATTGCAAATATGGTCACTATAATTTATTGGCAGCAATCAGCGTAATTACCAAATACACGGGCCGCAAGCAGAAAGCTGCAAGTTGAAACCATGAGCATGCAAGCACGATCCATTAGAAATGCTTTTCAACAACTGTAATGGTCCGATGAGTTCCATCAGAGCCCATGGACATTCGTCAAACTTCTATCAAAGTCTTCTTAAGTCTGATTGAATCGGTCAGATTCTTCAGAGTACCTAGCAACTGACAGGGCTTGGTCAGCCGTCAAACCAAAAAAACGTTTAACAAACATGAAAAAGCACAAAACGCACCGAGTGAGCGAGGAAATCAGGACCACCAGGTAATGTTCCAAAACCCACACTACAAGCAACAAAAACAAATCTAGCCGAACGAACTAAAACACAAACTCTCGCCGGGAGATCTGCAATTGGCAAGGTTCTTCTTGACATGCTATTGAGGACATACAACTAGCAAGGTCTCGTCTTGCCTCCAGTTCTGTACGGACTACAAGTACAAAGGCCTGAGCCCTGAAGCCCACCCAATGAGTGTAGAGCAAAAGAGAAAGGGAGCTAAAGATTCTGACGCGCAATGGCATTACCGGGATGCTGCAAGGGTTCTGTCAGCCTGCATGGTTTGAGGGTGTAGGGTTTAGGGTTTAGGGTTTAGGGTTTAGGGTTTAGGGTTTAGGGTTTAGGGTACTTATTGGGGATTACCTAAACCCTAAACCCTAAGCTCTTAGCACTAAGCCTTCTGGGGGACCGTGGAGGCGTTGCAGCTTTTGGCCAAGGGCCCCTTAGCGGATCCGCAGCTGAATCGAGTGGCATCTGAACTCTTCAATTTCGCGGCTGGCCGATGGTCCATAGAGGCGGGGCTTTACACTCTTTAGGGTTCAGAGGGTTGAGGTGCTTAGGGTTTAGAGGTTTAGGGCTTATATAGGCGTTAAGATTAGGGGTTGAGGGTTGAGGGACTGTGCAGCAGAAGCCGGACAGTTTGAACATCAATACCCTAAACCCCTAAACCCTAAACCCTAAACCCTAAACCCTAAACCCTAAACCCTAAACCCTAAAAAAAATACCCTAAAACCCTATGGAAGCCCCGGGGCCCCGAAATCGAAGGTGCATTGCATGGCTCCCTTCGACGCGCGGGGCCCGAATCGGTTTAGGAAGCGGTCAGCTATCTGGGTTCAGAGTCTAGGGTTTTGGGGTTTAGGGTTTAGGGTGTAGGGTTTAGGGTTGAGGGTTTAGGGTTTAGGGTTTAGGGTTTGGGGTTTAGGCCTGAATCCCAAGCCCTGAAACCGAAGGGAATCTTGAACCCTAAACTAACGCTGAGCCTTGAACCAGAACAAGCATTGCCCGCCGTAAAGCACGAAGCCTTGATCCACGAAGTTGCCTTTGCCTGGAACCACGAAGGTTTTGCCTTAAACCACGAATTGTCAGCCTTGCCTCAAACCACGAATACTTGGCCTTGGACCACGAATAATTGGCCTTGGACCACGAACAACTTGAATTGAACCACGAACGAATTGGCCTTGAAAAATCGTGGTTCAAAGCGAAAAACCATGATTTGCCTTAAGCCACGAACGATTAGCTTTGAACCACGTTTTAGTGGCCTTGAACCACGCATTATTGGCCTTGAACCACGAAGTCGCAAAAGTTTAAATTAACATGTGATCGAGAGGTTCAGGGCATAAGTAAGGCCTTTAGGGTATGAGGCGCGCGGCCTGCAATACATAGGGTGTTCGGGTTTACGGTCTCTGGGTTTTTGGGTGTTAGGGCCTTGGGGCCGGTAATCAAAGGCAGGCCGTAGAAGTTGCTGTGCGTTTCGCAAGCCCTTAGATTGGCAAGGTTCTCCCTAAACTCTAAACCCCTGAACCCCTAAACCTCTAGACTCTAACCTCAACCCAAAACCTCTGGACCCTAAACCTAAAGCCAAACACAACAATTCAAAGTCTCAGACCCATAGCCCCACCCCCCGCTCTCCATAGGAAATGATATTCAGCAATGTAAACAGGCGAGGCAGGGGTCAGGGTTTGGGGGGGTTTAGGGTTTGGGGTTTAGGGTTTTGGGGTCTGTTGAGGGTGTAAGCTCAACAGATCTAGTCTCGCAGAGGTTTGGGGCTTTTGTGGTTTTGGATGTGTGTTACTGCTACTTCCCTTAGGGTTCCTTATTATATATAGTTATAGTATAACGGACTCCAAGAAGAAGGTTTAGGGTTCAGGGACCCGATTCTAATTCTTATGGTCTCTACACGACTCGCTTTCTCCGAAGGTCAGTCAGGAGACCTTCAATGCAGACATGGCACATTTTCCTTAAACCCTAAACCCTACACCCTACACCCTAAACCCTATACCCTAAACCCTAAACCCTACACCCTAAGCCGTAAACCCTACACCCTAAACCCTAAACCCTATTTCCAGCCAGGGTTGTGGCACGTAGGATTCAGGATCCCGGTTCCCGGGAGTTCGGTGTGCTGTGCTGGATGTAGGGGGAAAATACCCAATACTATTCAAGGTGGTTCCTTACTATAATTGTGGTAGAATTTTATCCCAAAACCCTATTCTAAGTATTAAGGCCCCTATATTACATCAATCGTCCTACATCTTGCAGCCAGCAGCACCAAGACCCAGATCCAGCACTTGAGTTCCGCGACCTTTGCAGTCCCTCCTCTCATACCTTCCTAGTAGCCCTGAAGCAAAAAGAAATCGAACTGCAAAGCCACACTAAACCCCAACCCCTGAACCCTAAACCCTAAACCCCTAACCCCGAAACCCTAAACCCTAGAAGCCCTAACTCTAAACCCCTGAAGCTGTTCTCCACACCGAGGTAGATCTTTGCATGCTGAATTTGTCGACTTGTTACGTGGCCCGCACCCGAGATGCCCAGGAAGCACAGGTGTTCAGGGCCTCCCGGCGTTTTTGGGGCTTAGGGGTTTAGGGTTTAGGTGTCTAGTGTCTAGGGTTTAGGGTTTAGGGCTTAGGGTTTAGGGAGGGGTTGCGGGTGTGGGATTGTGCCCGTAACGCTCGAACAGGCTTTGGCCCTCAGTTTCACGACGTTTGAACAGGGTCTCTCTTCCTGATTTATGGGAGTTTCCAAAATTTGGGTACCATATTTTGGGGTCCTTATAATACGGATCCTACTGTTTGCGGAACTATAAGTAGGGTCTCTAGTTTCGGAAACACCCTTATATCCTAACGCTGAACCCTAAACCCTAAAAGCCTTTCCGTTCTTCAGGGTCCAAATGACAAGGCTATTCCCCACCTGAACCCTGCCCTGAGTAAAGCTACAAAACACCGCACCCGGTGGTTGGCAGTCCCGTGTTTGAGGGTTCCGGGTTCAGGGTTTGCGGTTCAGGTTTCAGTGTTTATGGTTTTCGGGCGGGGTTTCGGTTTTTTGGATTTTAGGGTTCAGGGCTTGGGGTTTAGGGTTTCGGGCTTCTGGGTTTTAGGGTTTAGGGTTTAGGGTTTTGTGCTTCTGGGTTTTAGGCTTCGCGGTTGATCAAGGTTTACGCATTTGGCGCTTAGGGTTTCGGTCGCACCCGAGCCAAGCGACGTGCAGCTTTGTATCTAAGGACTTTAGGAGGGACC